AAAGAGGAAAGGTTGGTTTGAATTTCCATCATTGGCCATAAAGACGTAAACTTGAGCGAGGAACGATGCAGATGCGACTCGCGCGAAGGCCACCGTTGTCACTGTTGAGTTTGTGGCCAGCGACGGACTTGGCGGAATGAGGTATGCATACGATAAGTTGAAAGATTGTCTCAAGAGGTACAACTTGTCGCCTCGCCGTGCTCTCTTTGCAGTTCAATCGTACCTTCCATGCTGGTCCTGGTTTCAGCCCTCTTTCTCCGCTTTAAAGTTTACGTTCATTTTCCGGTCTGATCTTTCGTCATGTGAATTTTTCGTTTTCACTGCTATCTCATTTGGCAGAGGCTCATTCTATTACATCGCTAATTAATGATGCCTTTGCCGTTGAGCGACGTCATGTTCTACAAATCGATGTTCATTTCGTGAGCGATTTTGAATGTCCCGTTCAACCCATGGCCAGATGTGGATTTGTGAGGTTATGTAGCTTCAGACTCAGCTGAATGATAGGAATAAACGATACGTCTTTGCGTCGCTCCTCACTCTACTCCTGGTTCAAGTATGGTTTCAGATGTAACCACAAGTAACCACAATTCCAGTCTTTGCCTCAACCTCATTTTCTCACTTTCGAATATGCACCCCGGTTTGTGCCCCTGTCGATCCACCTTCAGCTGATTCGGCTTATGTGTCCTTTTAATGTTATATCACTTACAGGATGCTTATTTTGCTACAGTGGAAATTAATGAGGAAATTAATGTCACCTTTCAACAATCATAAAAATCTAGCAAGGGATCTTCCTCTGGTTAGCAATTTTTTGCTCAATGGAGACAACGCCGGCACTTAGCTCTGCGAAGTCATTTAACTTTCTTTTTATAAGTAATCGTATGGAGGGGGAGGACAAAAGTAATGTTTTTTTCCGCTCCTCAGCTTAGAACCCGTAGTCAACGATTAACTTGGCGAAGTTATATAACTTGGATTTGAAAGATATACGCGAGGAAGGGGGGGGGGAAGGATGTAGCCTTTTTTATGTCTGGACTTATGCCAGATTCCAGTTGTATAGCAAACACTAAACTCTGTGTTAGTCTTTACCTCACTTTGCTTATTTTCTTATTTACATGTACTTTTTGTCTAGTGGCACGACCTTCCTGTAATTGAGTAGGTTATATGCGAGTCGCCTGCGACTTTTCCGTGTTACACCATTAATCAACGACGATTTCATACGTTTTTGTTATCTACTACGTGCTCCCCTTTTGGCAGCAGTCTTTAGATACTTACTCAGCCTGTCGCCAGCGCAGGACGTGGCGAAATGAGGTAAGTTCACATTCTATTGGACTGTGGGGAAAGAAGGTGCGTTCTCCTTTTTCTCACTTTCT